TTCCGCGCTCTGCCTGCTCCCTGCCTCCACACCTCACAGCAACCTTTGAAAGCGATGCCATGTGCCTCGCTGCCTGATCTGCTCAGCAGTGGGAGGCATATTGCGCCACGCCGCTTTCAAAGGCTGCAGTGAGGCATGGAGGTGGGGACTGGCAAAATGCAGCCTGCACGTGGGTCCAAGAGACATGACAGGGAGGTACACACACTTCATGTAACAAAGGTACCAGACACAAAGTCAGCTCTTTGGTAACGGAAGACAGAACTCAAATACTTGCCCATATTTAAGTATTAATTAAGGCTTAATCCTAGCCACATCGACATGATTACAAGGTAGCATGCGAGTATTACAGCTAGTTTCTTCTATTATTTACAACAATGCAAATTAAAAACAGAATTGGGCCTTTAAAGAAAAACATCTAACAAGATAATAAATAGACTGAGACAAATATTAAAGAATGCATCTGGTACACAGTGTAATATTAAATATTAAAGGGGGAAGCAGGACCAATTCGGGAATGGACTAAAGCAGCAAGCTCACAGACTGAAGCGGGGTGCTCACGGATCGCTATACCTTAGAGGGAACATTGCTTGTGGTCCTATCATACAAAGTTCCCACACACACCAACTTCAGCAGGATGGTGGTGCCCTCCCAGTATGAGGTATGCAGAGAGTACTTGAGGGAGGAGCTGCACAAGGCAGGTCTGCAGGTGGGCTTACACTTCACCTGAGACATCTGGAGCAGTCGGGGTGGAGATCATGCCTACCTCTCCCTCATAAGGCAGTGGTGCGACCAGTCAGGCCGTCGGTGGGCTCTCCTTCCAGCCAAGGTGATGGACGAGTCCCACACGACAACCAAGATCATGGGGGCCATGGGTGCAGGGGTGGCTTGTTGGGCAGGGTGAGCTCACCTGCGGGTTCATGGTCACTGACAATGGGGCCAATATGTTGTCAAGGTGGTCCATGATGCCATCTTTGTTGGCAACCGCTGTGTGGCATACAAGTTGCACCTTATTGTCAGGGACACCATGGAGGGGAACAAGGATGCCAGAAATGGCACCAGCACCACAAGCAAGTTCATTTCCAAATGCAGGAAGGTGGCAAGCTACTTCAACCAGAGCATCAGTGGGGGCAAGATGCTATGGGACAAACAAACAGAGCTGAACATCCCGCAGCATAAAATCATTTAGGATGTGGAGACTTAGTGGAACTCCACATACCTGATGCTTGAGAGGCTAGTGGAGCAACAGAAAGGCCATCCATGAGATGGCCTTCCTTGGAGAGGTTGGGATCAGCAGCCCACTTAACAGAGCTGAATGGGCTACCATCTCCCAGATCTTGGTGGTTCTCAAACTCTTCCTTGAGGCCAAGACGTTCAGTGCTGGTGATGCCCTCCATAGTCAGGTGATTCTTGTAGTGAGGGACCTTCAGAGCCAAATGGAGAGCTTCCAGGGGATCAGTGTTCCTGGCTGGGGCAAGCTGCTGTAACCAGATGTCCAGGCACTGGTGAGGCAGCTGAAAGAGGGCATCAGGAAATGGCTTGATCCCTGCAGTCCAGTACAGTCAACGTGCTGGTCGCCATGTGTGACCCAAGGGTGAAGGGGAGTGTATGCAGCAGTAAAACCCTGGATCACTGAACAGAGGTGCTGGTGAACAGTCAGGGAGGCAGCAGGGTGGAGGCAGGGGAAGTGGAAGAGGGGGATCCACTGTCCTGTGCCAGCACACCATCCACCAGTCTTCCCCTCCACTACAGGTGCTGCCAATGTGGGCCAAGGGCATGGCTTCCATGGTGAGGTCCAGAAGCACCAGACCCCACCATCAGACAGGTAGTGCTCAGGCCTTGGAGGCTGCCTATGAGCTGTACTTAATCAACCTCCTAGGTGCAGAAACTAATTGACTTAATATAGACATTGGACTTAAGACACAACAACCTGCTGGATATTTGACTCCCTGGGTACCTCTCCTCTTTTACCTGCTACATACCCTACCCTCCCCACCCTTACCCCAGCCTGCCCCTCACCCCCTGATGCCTCCATTTCCAATTTCACTGACTGGCTTTCTTGCCTTCACTGCATGCAAGCCTCTGATTTCTTTACTATTCCTTCCATCCAGGAAGAGCACACACACCAACTGCAGGTGCTTCCTCAGCCTGACAAAGGGTTTTCAACCCCAAAGTTTGCCAAGATATACTTCTCCAACTATTCAGTTGGTCTACTAAAAGATATCAGATTGACCCAAAGAACCTTGTCTGCCTATGTCCTTAGACCAACATGACTACAACCTATACCCCTAGCATCTGTCCCCAGTCAGCTGACTGGAAGGAGGCAGGGCCCTGGGCACATCTCAGCCTCAGGGATGGGGCAGGCAGAGAGAGTTCTCTGGCAGCTGCTGGAGAAAAAGCTCCTGCAGGAAAGGAAAAAAAAGCTCTGTGACAGTTTGGCTGCTTGAGATGCAAGTGCTACTGTGTTGCTTATCTGTTGTTATTTAAAATGGTGGACCAGGCTGAGGCTGTAGGGGAGGAGGCCTCATGGGACAAACTGCTGTGTCGTGCAGAGACTCCAGTGCCAGTGAGGGTGCAGCAACAGGGGCATAGGGAGCCCAGAGACAACAGAAGGTAGAGTGAGACTGAGACCTCATTACAGGGGCGATATCAATATACTATCTGGGAGGCACGGGGTGTGGTAAGGGATGGCTGGAGGCATGCATCTAGCCCATTAAGGCGTAGGGTGTCCCCTTGAGGCACCTACTTAGAGTGGGTCCCAGCAAGGAGTCCTACAGGGTTTAGTGGGGTCCATTAGGACTGTGACTGAGCTGAAGCTCAAGGGCAGCCTCCCTATCTATTATCTTTTCCAGTAAGACCTGGTGGCAGGTGAGAAGAGAAGGCACCTGCAGGGTGGAGCTGGCACAGTCACAAGGCCCTAGGGGTATCACAGCCATCTCTAGGGACTCTACTCTGTGACAAAGTGCAGTTTCCCAGAAACCCCTGCACCTATCTCCTTGAAACTTTGCAGGCTTCATAGCCTCAGCAAGGGGCTACCATGCCTGCTGTTTTCACCCCTCTCCATGTTAACACAAACACAGGTCACAAGTTTTCCTTGTCAGCATCTTGAGGTGCAGTTTCCCAGAAACCCCTCCACTAATCTCCTTGAAACTTGGAAGGCTTCATGCCCTCAGAGGTGGCTACCATTCCTGCAATTTTCTTCAGAATCTGGGAAGAAGTAACAAAGTTATGGGCATTTTAGTCAGTCCCCATTATAGCCTATGGCCGAAAAACTGAAACAGCGTCAAAACTCAAAAGTTTCAGCTGACACAAAATAAAACAGCAATTCAAAACACCGAAATGAACTGCCGTCCCATTGAAATGCCAAATCCAAAACAAAACACAGGCATTTTGCACAGCTCTAATAGAAACTAACTATGAAGCTGATTAAATGGAGCCAACACTGAGTGTGACTATAAAGGGTAAACAGGCTGATGGGAACCTACAACAGGAATAGGTGAATAGGTTAGCACGATCCATCTGAATAAGGTACATGACAGTGCCCATTTCATGTAGTAGATCTCAGCACCAACTCTTTTTAATGTCATTATGAGTCTCTATATTGCATACATTTTGACTTCCTCTTAACTCCTTAAGCTGAGTTGTGCCTTTCTTGCCCATTTCCAATGAGTCCTATTTCTTAACAAACCTTAAATGTCTGGTAGACATCACCAAACAGGGCCCTGTCACACATTAGTGTGGCTCTGCCCTCCATGAGATGGAGACAGATCAGGCTGCCCTACACCTCATCTGCATGTAAGTTTTTTTTGCAAGATCCTAGGGCTTGTGCCAGGAACATCTGGTTCCAGTCCTGCCTGGGGGAGCTAATTAGCACATGGATCCTTTTATTTTGTTTGTTTTGTTTTTTTAAGAGGGTGGGGGAGGAATGTCCATCTGAAGTACTGAGCAGTCCTGAGCCATAAATGCTGTTGACTCTGCTGCGACCCAGCCCAAAGAACTCTATGGTAAATCATATGCCTTTTGGCTTTGGACTAATAATATGCATAGCTCATACTCTCTCCAAGTATGTTCTACAGTGTTTCTTTATTTATGCTAAAAATCTGTGCTAAAACTTGCAGCAGTTTCAAAAATGGTAAAATACCTAATTTCTGGATGAATTAAGGCCATGGGTACCATATACAAATTGCTACATCTCTGTTTATTTTAAGGTTTGCTTTTTCAAATCTGTTCCTCATTTTCATGTGCTCAGGGAGAGCAAGATCTGACAATAAGGAACGGGGAAGGGGATGCACGAAGAACACATTAGGGTGAGGCAAAGGGGCTACTTGCCCCCCCCCCCCAATTTATTTTTCCTGCTGTAGCAGTGGAAGGTTGACAAATTCAAGACAAACCTCTGATAATTAAGGTTCTATACCTGAAAAATTGTATCAAATTTTAACATTGTCCATATATAGAAGGTAATGATGGGAACAGGATCATCTTATATGAAAGTAAATACAGTAGATTTCCCCCCTTATTTCTAAATATTCAACTCAGGAAAGTGTATATTCTGTTCTCTACATGCATAACACACCAATGGGAAATGTTTTCATTTAACTTTCCAAAAGAGAAGGAACAAGTTGGGACAAAAGAAACAGGTTGAAGCATTAGCACCTGAAAAATAAAATTCTTAGTAGCACAAAAACTTTTTAATGTTAAAAGCAGAAGCATCTTTATAAATTTTCTGCCCAACAGTGATATTACCACCCAGTAAAATTGACCATAAAGTGCATCAATAATCAGTGATCCAAATTAATTATCAAATCTGAATAAACCTGGGTGTGGAACATTCATTTTAAGACTAATGCATCCAGAACCAATCCTAATTTAAACACACACAATGGCATAAAAATAAGACACTGAGATACTACACTTGAACTGATTGAACTGATCCACCAAGAGGCAAGAGCCTCAATTCCACAGTGCTGCTTAAAATAAAATAAGTTTTTAATATTACCACTTACCCTCTTTGGCCCACTAAAGATCTTCCTGGTGTTTTCCTTAGATTTATCACCTTGTTTGTTTGTGGGTTTTTTATTGCCTTCAGGGACACCTGATGGATCTTCTGAAAACTCCAGTAGATCTGCAAAGGTAAATATAAATGAAGAAATATTCAGTTAAATGGCTTTCCTTAAAAGATGGCTTCTTACATTATGAACTGCCATATAAATTACACTGCTGAATTTTTACAGGAATTGGACATTGTATTCTGGTATTTTAAAACAGATAATTGAGATTGCTTGAGGACATAATAAAACATCTTAACATATACTAAAAGCCCCTGACATTAAGAAGGTTCCCATTCATAATTCTCAACACATCAGAAGTAAAATTCACTTGATCATGAATGAGTCCAGCACAGTACTTGGGGAATGTTAGTGAACTTGAAGAATAGGCACAGTTCCTTGGAAACTGCTTGGCCAGCAAAAATTATTTATAATTTTTTTTAATTCAAGTGTTTCAAGATACATAGGAAAAAAGTGGAAAAATCAAGATGATAACCAAAATGTTTTTAAAGTCCACTTTGATCTGTGCACAAAAGTTAAATATTGACTGTACACTACTAAAAATCCTTAAAAAAGTGATGACTGTTCATATACTAGACTTTAATGCTGACGTTAATTTTTCATACTATCAGCTTTTTCAGCCCAGTTTCATGTACATCTGAGGTCCCTGATCTCATGGAGTGCTGTGGTTGGGCTTATGGTATCTTTTTCATGCTTACTGCTGTTCTATGAACCGTCAATATGGCCGACTTCCCTGCCTGCCATGTCCTTGAGATTATTATTATTAATATTGATTTTTAGGTATTATTAGGCAGAAGGCTTATTTTGTTAGTTTGCTCTTTTATGCCCTTTTTATGTGGCTTGCACACAATATGCATATATCCTACAATCCTCTCATCCGTATATATGCCCAACCTCAAAATTAGATATCTACACAGTCTGGTTAAGACTGTGCACTTTACTTCATTTTGTTTTGTTTTTTTTTGTGGGTTTTTTTTTTTGTTTTTTGTTTTCTTTTTTACACACAGATTTGTACAAGTCTCACACACAGACCACAGATGTTCCTTGCATCTTTTTCCGATATCACTTACAGTAGTAACTTTATAACTTCTCACACACAATGACTCTGTAAGGGCGTGCCGGCGTTTGCGCCGGCGTTCGTGTAAGGCGGGCACGAGGTAGCTGCACAGGGCGGCTCCTCC